TGACCAGATTCTCTGACATAAGAAAGTGGGTTTTAAAATAGTGACTTGATGGTGATCCTGCATGACCCCTCCTGGCCAAGTTCAAGGCCACTCCAGCAGTTACAACTCAGCTGCCTGTACCCTCACTCCCACGGTGGGACTTGACCTTGACTGGATCTTGGAAACCTAGACACTCTAGGTGGTAAGGCAGCATAATTTGCAAAGTCTTGAATTTCTCCATAACTAGGGTCTGTCCTGGGACAAGAGTAAACTCTTGACTTGTCTGGGTAGGCCATTTCATCACTGGACAGCACTGTGAAGAATCTTGTCCTCTTTCGATATCCATAAATCTCATCCTAGTGCCCCACATTGGTCCCAATTCTACTCCTGAGAGCCAGTCTTAAGACAGTTAATGTGCCCACCTCCAGCCCAGGGCCCACAAATCTATGAGAGGTAGATTGTTCTACAAGCAGAACCTTTAAAAGCTCAACTTTGCAGAATAGAAAAAGCATGCCATAGATAGATGAGAACCTTATGGTAACAAAGAACATGGACTTAAAGGCAAAGAGACCTGTTCCAAGCCTTCGATCTGCCCTTCTCACCTAAGGGACCTTGGGCAAGTGACCGCCTCTGACACCCCGCTTTCCTTGCTGAAAAACAGCCTCAGTCACAACCTCGACTTCTCAGTGGTTTCATCTTATTTAATCCACACAACATATAAAGCTGTTCTCATAGACTCAGGAGATATCAGCTGCTCTAATAATTATTATTATTCACCTACAGATTTCTTTTCAGGCTAAACATTTCCGGTTCTCTCAACTGCTGTCTCACGTAGCACTGTTCTGAGCACTTCCTGCTCTCCACAGCCCAGCCACTCTCTTCTGAAACATTTGTGTCGGTTTTTACCCTGCTACTTTTCTAAAAGTGTGCTGTTCAGAACAGGACAGGGCACCGGGTGGGTTCTGACCTAGAAGAGGGAGCTTTGGCCCCTGTTCTCAGCACCTTCTACACTGGTCTCATGAGGACAACTTTCCAGTGTCTGCACCCACATCACCCCATTGACTCACTGAGGTCACTTTTGACTCAAACCCTGGGTCTTTTTCATATGCATCGCTTGGGAGCCAAGAAGTCCCCTTCCTGTGTTCACACAGTTGGTTTTCTCTCTTTTCTGGGGCGTAGGGTAGGTTTTGGGGAGTACTTGTTTAATTTGATCATGGCTCTTCAGCTCGTCTCTCCAACTCTCTAGATTCTGCAGAATTCTAATTCTGGGATTCCTCCTAGTTACCCCTCCATCCTCTGCCACCTCAGATCTGATCCTTGTGACTTGTTTATTCTTATACAAGTGGTTCATACAATTCATAGCAAAATCGCAACTCAACCTACAGCCCACGTTGCCCTCAGCTTTGCCTGAGATTCCAGGAGCTGCTAAAACACAGAGAATTGGCTTCTGGTCCTCCTCTGTCCACAGCTGCATAGGCCTGGGCAACTCACGTTTCTTCTCTGGTGCTATATCCTCTTCTGTGAAGTGAAGGGATTGGGTAAAGTGATGTCTAAGGAATGGTCAGTCTCTGCTCTTCTGATTCAGTAATTCAAATCCTGCAGGCCCCAAATCACCATGAGGAAGGTAACTCAGGGAATCTAAACTCTTTTCAGATGCAAACGATTCACCCCTGTGATGCAGCCACAAAGGCTGTCTGTGGTGTAAGGGGGATGGTGCTGAGCCCAAATCCTACAGTTAACAAGAGGCATCTGGAGCCCTGGCACCTGGGAAGAGGTCCAGGGCCTTGAATGAGGAGAAGAAAATAGTGTTTAAAGGAGAGTGGCCTTGACTCAAAGGCCAAGAAGTAAAGAGAAGCAGGTTGCGGTCTTTCAGAAGACAATTAGGAAAGAGATGGGGGTGTCTGAGCCCCGTGCTGGCTGTCAGCTGTTTATCTCTGAGTAACATCAGCACAAGTAGCAACAGCCACGCACCTGCCCCTGCACCACCTCGGAGCCTCACAACAGGATGCGGTTTGACATTTACTAGGTCTTGCATCTGGGGCGCCTGTGAAAGTCCCTCCCCCCGCCCATCTTCTGAGCTCCGCGGACACCACGTTCACCACATCCTGCCCATCCTCTTCCCATGCTGTTCTTTCTACCTGGGCCTCTGGTGAGCACCCTGGCAGTGGAAATAGAACTGCAGCGGGAGAGGAGAGGGTCTCTGGAGGGGGATCCGGGCACCCTAGCTGCAGGTGCAGATCTCCCCACCCCCAACATAACTCCTACACCTGCTGGAGGTTACACCCAAGATCAGAGGCTGCAGGGAGCACCTTGGAGATAGAGAAGAATGCAAAACATCTGCTCTAACTGCTATGACCCCATTAGGGTCCCTTCTCACCCCACATCACTCAGGCAACTCCCTCCCCCAACCTGCTCCTAAAAGCCCTCCCCCCCACCTTCCACCATCTCCCACTTCCTTCCACTCATCTAATGAGTGGGCGTGAATGAGTCACAGTAAAGGGAGCCCTAGATAATCAACAGGCTGAGAAACGGACAGTCCCCAGATGTCGGAGCTGGTGTCTGTGTGCTGCACTGACTGGGGTTCTGTAAGCGTCGTCCCTGCCGCTGAGGCCTGTGAGGTCCATGTGCTGGGTATCTTCTATCCCACCTGGGCAAGAGGAGGAGGGAGAACACAATGCAAAGAGAATAGAAAAGCAGAGAGCCAGGATAAACAACTCCAAGGAGGGAGAGGAAAATAACAGGACAGATAACAGGACAAGTCTGCTTTGCAGCCACTCAAAGGGCTGTAGCATCCTCAACCCAAAGCACATAAGCCTGGGCACAACTATGAGGTCGTGCAAATTCAGTGTTCCCAGCTTTCTCAAGCCACCTAGAGGCCCCAGCTTCTCTCCCTATAAATCCCTTGAGTGGCTAAGATCCAGGCTTGAAGGGAGTTCTGGCCACCAGCATGTGGCCCTGGATCTACCACGTGCCAGTGGCCGGGGAATGACAGGTATGGTAGGGAAGAGTTGTCCGAGCACACCTACAAAGCCAGAGCCAGGCATCGGGTCCTGGAAGGTCTCCTAGAGAAGAGACGGCCACATCTCTCCAAAGAGGTGAGTGAGATTGATGAATTCCTGGCAAGAGACAGCCCATCTGAGCAGTATCTGCCATCCTGATTACGATGATTGTGGATTTTCGATTCCTAGACACTGTGGAAGCAGTCATGAGAATAGGACCCTTATTTATAAATAGGCAGATATCATGGAGGGTATTAATTTGTTCTGATGAATTTAGACGGCTTTCAAGCCTTTCCTTAACTATCCTCTCCTCACCTAGTAATGGCCCCCGGCTCTCTACTGCCCTGTGCAATGATCAAGAACTGTTTCCTCACTGCTTTTCTGGAACTCCCAACAGAAAAGATTAGTATCTGAACAAACACAACATAGGGGACAAGATTCATGGGTTTGTCATCCAAGTATATTTAGCTTTTTAAAATATTGACTACATAGTTTAAATTTTAATATTTTTTAAAAAAAATAAGTCTTTCTTTTGGGAAAGTTGTAATCAAAATACCTTGGAAACTTAGGAAAATAATATCTGTTGAAAATTAGACCCCGTAATAGGGCTTTATAACATAAACACCATCTAATTGAATACATTTAACGATCCAGTAAGGGAAGTTCCACAGGTGAGGAAAATGAGTTCTAGAGAGATTAGGTAATTAACCCGAGGTCGCAACAGCTAGTAAGTTTGGGCTCAAAAAAGCAAATGCCTTAGATATACAGAGGCAGTAAGATATCAGTTGTTGGCCAGGTTTGCAGGGAAAGAGGAGAGAAATTCACAGGTAAAGAACTGGGCATCTGTAGGGCAGTGAAATTCTGCCTGACATTGTAATAGTTAATATAAGACATGGTACATTTGTCAGAAACCAGAGAAATGTACAACACAAAGAGTAAATTTTAATGTGACTCATGGACTTTAGTTAATAATAATATATCAATAATAGTTCAAAAATAAACATACCACACCCAAGTAAGATGTTAATAATAGGGAAGGCTGGGGAGGAGACATGCATGAGAGCATTATTATCTGCTCACTTTTTATATTAATCTGAAACTGTTCTAAATACTGAAGTCTATTGACTAAAAATAGCCTGACAGTACTGCGTCAGGGAGAAATCTATTTCTGCTTATGTTCAATAACCAGCTAACATCTAAACATTAGCTTGAGACGTTGCTTACTGTTAAATGTGAACCAAACTTGAGTTGTAAAGCCATCTTTACTTCAATGGTTGTAGCACTGCTGATTGTCTTAGTAAATCTAAACTTTCACACCTGGAACAAAACCAAGTACCTTGATTAAACCATGTTGGGACTGTGCCCAGAAATGTCTTGCATATACTTCATTTTTCTTTTTAGCCCTGTGATGGCCCAGAGTGCCCAGCACGTAATAGCTGCTTAATAAACAGTCAACCTTAAGGTGCAACAGGGACCCTGCGGCTTTATTCAGTACTGTCTTGATTGCTTTGTGTCTCCATCTCAGATTTTCCTCTGCAGATTAAATGATTCTGAAAATAAACAAATGCCTGAATTGTCCTAAATGAAATGATGCCAGGAACAGAGTATTTTAAGACTTCTTGTGCCCCCTCGTGGAACAGAAGGGACATTAGAAAAGAAAATCTTTTTAGGAATAAGGAGGAGGAGGAGGGAGGGATGAGGGCCTGAGGGATGAAGAAGGAAGCTTGGTTGCCAAGGTAACAGAGGCATCCCTTCCCAGCCATCCCCATAAGTCTCTTTCTCCCCTTCATTCCCATCCAAGTACTTTCTCTTTTTTAGGGTTTTCCCATTACGTATGCATGCCCTCTTTATCCTGTCTCTTTTATCTCTTTGATCACCATCTGCTTTTCTGCTCCCTCTGTTGCTACAAAGAAAGAGAGGTACACAGTAGAAGAGGAATAAAAAAAATTCTAAAACCCAAAACAATAATCAGCTTTCCTAAGTGCATGTTTCTGATACTAACAAAGCCATATTTGTAGCCCCTACGAGAACAGCCCACTTTGCCCCTTCCCTAGCTCAAAGCCTCATCCAAACCTCCACGAGATGTCTAGTTTCTGCAGAAAGATCAATGACAGGAGACTTTCCAGGTGATCAATATTAACTAATGTAGTAACCCGGGTTGGCGTCCTCATATTTGCTCACCAGTCCACCACCCCACCGCATCCCCCTGCAGGGGCACCCTGCCCTTCTCGCCAGCATGTGCATAACCTCACTCCCCAGTGTAGACCCACAGGAATGCGGGAGAAAGGGTTAGACCAGGTATAGCACACTTGGGGGGCTGAAGTACAACAGCCTAGGACTAGACATCCACGCGTTGGGAGCCTGACTGTGTGTATGCAATACAGATTCTACGCATACATCTTTTTTGTTCTTCCTGAGAGCTTAGTAAAGTTCTTTTGGAGACCCTGGCTTGATTCAGTTGCCCTCACATTGGCTGACAGTCAGAAACCCGATGACAGTCATCCCTCACCCAGCCCCTGAGCCAGGGCTCCTGGAGAGGGCAGCGAGGACTCCGGAGAGGGTGGGGTTTTTGCACAGATGTCTGCCCCAGCCGGCTCAGTGTGAGGCTCCAAGCGCAGAGGTAGAAGCCAGAGTTATTGAGCAGGAGCTTCTTAGAACTCAGGATGAACGGGCCATCCTGGGATATGGAGGCTTCGAAGTTCTGGGGCTCCTCAGATTCTACCCGGTCAGCACTAAAGGAGTAGAAGAGCAGCTGGAGAGCCCCTCCTGCCGCCTGCCGGTACCAGTACAGTCTGGGGTTTGATGTCCCCTTCACGGTGCACTCCAGGGAGAGTGAGCTGCCCATAGGCTGCACCACGGTAGGTGGACTTTGATGGATGGTCTGAGCTCTGACACCTGCAGGGAGTGTAAAAGGCCATTTAGAGGGAAGAACCCCAGCCCAGCCCATCTTCCATCCTGAGAGAGGGATGGCTCAAGCCCGCCCATGGCTCAGGCATGTGAGAACCAACTCATGGCAGGTAGCCTGGGGACAGCCAAGGGCACAGAGGGTCAATGGGCAAGGGGAGACCAAGAGAGCAGACTCCTTCCTGGGGATGGAGAAAACCAGCTCATCGGCCACTAAGATTAAACTCCCATGTTCATTCCTGACAACTGAGGAAGTGTACCAGAGAGTCGAACTGACGGCTGAGGCTCTAGATTCAGAGGGTGGTGGTGAGAGTGAGGACTTAAGGGGAGGACCCACCTAAGAAAGTGCCCAGGAGAAGAGCAAGGAGACAGCAGGGCATGGTTCCAGCCAGGCTTCAGTTCAGCTAGTGTGGGTGACACCGCCTCATCTGGGCCGGAGAGGTGGCCAGGCTCCGCCCTCTTGGAGATCTGCCGCCGTCAGAGTAAAGCCATGTATCTATCCCCCCAAGCTGGGGAGGAAATGAGGCTTGTCTTTTCTTAAGTGTGTGATGAATCATGCCCGTCCTCCCTGGGAACCAGCTTTACCGGCACTAGTTATCTTTATTGAAATCCTGCTGAAGTCCTGGTATGTAAATCTATTTAATGATTCATTATTCACCTGTAAACAAGAGAGGGAGCTCTGGCTCCCCCAGGAGACCATCTCTGTAACCGTCAGAGAAACTGATACTGGCAGGATGATGAAAAGGGATTTTAGTCTGTCTGAAGCTGGAAACCAGCTATAGGATCTGTCACCTGGGTAGCTGAAAAGGAGATCAGAGCCCATCAAGGCTCAAGCGATTTAGGTCTTCTGGGGATTCAAAGCAAAAAATCTCAGCTCTCAGACAACGTAGCTGTCCCGACAGCCAATCAAGGGACCTGCACCCTCTTCATCCCTGGCAGACAGGATCTGAGACCTGGACAGGCAGAACCAACCACTGAACTGATCAAAGTTGCCCTCTGTGTCCATGTGCCTCTAACTAGATCTAATTTATTCTCTAAATGCAACCTAGGGTAAAGGAAATTTGGATCCTTGGAATCAAACAGATCTGGGTTCTTAACACAGCTCTGCTTCTTAGGAACCCTTAGCAAACTCTCATCCTCAACTTTTTCACCTGTAAAATGAAAAGAAGGATTGAAATACCTACAGATGGTTGAAGGTGCATTTTGCCTTCTGCATTACACTTGTTAAGTGTTGACTGTTTGGGGGGCCCTAGGGAAAGCCTGTACCTGGAGTAAAGAGTGGAAGATATACCATGGGATGGGAAGGAGGGTGGAGCTGGGGGATGACAGAGGCACAGGAAGCATTGCCAAGCCATCAATTCGTAATCGCTAAGGATAAGAATCTGCTAGGCAGCTGGTATAACCTCATTTTGTTGAAATGTGACAGAAGACCCCAAGATGTCTGGAGGACAGCCAATGGGTTCCTGGGAACCTTTCGTTCTCTCTGCCTTTGTCGAGCCCTGTCCTCTGAAGGATTCATTTTCAAGACGATTATTCGGTTGGGGTTGGATGTGGTGAGTGCTTGGGAAAGGAAGCAGGAGTGGCCTAACAGGGAGAATGAGCCTGAAGCAAATGCGGCATTTGCGATGCTTTCCCATTTCATCAAGGTCTGGTGATGTAAGATATTTGTCATTGTTGCTGATGCTGCAGGAACACAATTCAAAGTTAAGGCTGGGGTTCTTGCTCCTAAGAGAGGGTTGGCAGCAGCACGAGTTTTTTGTTTGCATGTGAACGCACTGTGTCTGGGGGAGAGTGCTGTGATTTTTGATCCTTTCCAAATTTAATGAATTCCTTTTATACTATTGACTTAAATGATGAATCAAGTGGTAAGCATAGTGTGCATTCCATGAACATTTCGAACATATGATGAAAAATAGCTATAGCCAACTACTGCTGTTCAATCTGTTTTTATGAACCTGTTAATAGGACTCAATATGCCTCTGTCTCGTCAGATTGGAGGGATTGAACCCAAGATGGATACGTGCCCACCCGCACACACACCACCTCTTTTCTCCTTTTCTTTTCCTTTCTGTCCTCCATCTTTGCTCTTAGAATTTTTAGCAAGTTAGTCCTGAGTGGGGATGCGGGCGGAGGGAGGGTAGACGGACGGTGGCAGCAGACAGAGGGAGGAGGGAATTGCTCTTGCTTTTGATGGGGACACGTCACACTCTCATCCGACTGGCAGGCTCTCACACCGGCCAACAGCCGTCTGGGTCCTGCAGGATCCATGAGAGCGGATGTAACTCATGGCTGCGTTGGCCCAGCGCCACCACCAAGCTTAGAAAGTGATGTGGTCTTCCTCCCTGGTGATGGCACAGCAGATTGGAGAGTGAAGAGACTTATCAGTCGGATCAGAGTAGCCAGCTGGCTTCTGACTCTCTAATCATTGTCACAACTCAGTAGCTTGGAGCTCCTTCCATATGGCTGATGCCACAGAAAAGTATCTCCCTCCTCACTCTCCACTCCCATCTGCAACATCGCTTATTCATTCAGTTCATTCAAGTCATTCATATACTGGGATGTGGATGAGGATACATCCCTCTAGTCTGTGACAGCCGATCTCCAAGAGGGGGGAGCTGTATCTCTGGCCCGGATGAGGAGGTGTCAATGAGACAGGATGGGCGGCAGGCCAGGATGAGCCATGTCAGCTCTCTCCTTGCCCTTCTCCTGGGCACCCTCTGAGGTGGGTGCTCCCCTCTCTGGCAAGCCTCCCTCAGATCCTTTGGTTACCATGCTGAGTTTCTCTCTCCACACTGAATTCTTAATGATTCACTACTGACAAGAGAAAGCTTTATACATGAAGGGAGTGGTGATAAATTTAACTCTTCTCTTATTAATTTAAAAACTGAAATCTGTCCCTTAACAATAGATTCGGAAGATAATTTCAGGGTCTATTTGTTCCTCTGCAGAAGAGTTAAAAATTACCTGGGCTGATAGGAAGAGAGGTGAGTCCATCAAGGAGATGTTTCTGAATTTCCCCAGTCTCTGCCCTCTCTGTGTCCTGCCCCAGCCTGGGTACATATTGATCAGGGGAAGAGATGAGAGACAGGTAGAGAGGGCAGAATCAAAAGCTCAGATGTTTGGAGGGTAGAGAATTATGCTAACTTCCAAGCTGGTAAGAACAAAATTCTGGGTCCCTATGTGCCACCCCAGAGACCACTAAATAGCAATGGCTTGTTTTAAGCAGAATAATGTCTGCCAAAGATGTTGACATCCTGCTCCCCAGAACCTGTCAGTATGCTGGGTTACACAGCAAGGCAGAATTAAGGTTGAAGGTGAAATTAAGGTTTTTAATCAACTGGGTTTAAAACACAAAACTGATTAACATACAGAAATCAGTTGCATTTCTTTACAAAATAGGGAAATTAGCTTGGATTATCCAGGTATGCCCAGTGTAATCACAGACGTCCTCACACATGGAAGGGGAAAGGAAATGAGAGTGAGGAAGAGATGTAGCAATGGAAGCAGACCCAGAGAGATGCTGCGTTTCTGGTTTTGAAGATAAAGGAGTCACGAGCCAAGGGATGCAGACGACCTCTAGAAGCTGCAAAGGGATTCTCTCCAAGAACCTCCAGAAAGGAATACAGCCCAGCTGACACCTTGGCTTTAGCTCAATGAAACCTGTGTCAAACTTCTGAATTTTAGAAATGTAAGGTACTAAATGTGTGTTGTTCTAAGCCACTACTTTTGTAGTAATCCACTACAGCAGCAATGGAAAACCAATACATGGCTCTAGAAAGTTTCTTGACAGAGGGACCCAAGGTAGTCTGCAGAAATCCCCGGGGAACTCTGGATAATCGGGAGTAGCCACTTTCTCATTCATCTGAAAACAAATGAGCTAAGTGAAGCAACCAAGCCTCCTGGGTGAGACACGGAAGATGCAGAGCATCCTGAGTGGACCAACAGGGACTGAAGGACAGACACACACCAAGGAGGCAGTAGGGACTAGTGGGGACAGATACTGAAAACCAGTACCAATGAAGATTCTGAAGGAAAGAAAAACAATGACCACAGACTGAGTACCCTCCCCAACACGGCCTTGACCCTTGGTGAGCGCCCCAGAGCTTAGATACCACCAGGAGGAAAGGGACACGAGGAAAAGCGCGAACTGTCCAAGAAACTCCTGAGTTCACCGTGTGTGCCCCAGAGGAATGAGGACTTAGGTATAAAATGATTTTAATTACAGAAACAAAATTATTTTATCCATCTATATTTGAAGCCATAAACTTCATATCCAACTTACAGTGCATATTACATTCAAGGTTAAATAGGTGCTTTGGAAAACACAGAAATAATTAAGACGTTATACTTGCCTTCCACCAACTATTATCTATGAAGGAAAGGAAGGGTAGAAAAGCCACCCAGATAGCTAAAATGCTCAAAGAGTTTGGAACTTCTGCTTCGAGCTTAGATGGAGAAACTGGTGTCCAACTAGACCTCTGTACTGGTTTCCTTGAGCTGTTGTAAGAGCGTACGACAGACTGGTAGCTTAAAAGAACAGAAATATATTGTCTCACACTTCTGGAGTCTAGAAGTCCAAAATTAAAGGGACAGTACAGCCATGTGCCGTCTGAAACGTGAAGGGGAAATCCTTTCCTGTTTGTTCCTAGCTTCTGATGATTTTCTGGCGATCCTTGGCATTCCGTGGTTTGTAACTGCTTAATTCCAGTCTCTGCCTTCATCATCACAAGATGTTCTCTCTGAATGTGTCTGTGTCCCCGTGGCTGTCTTCTTATAAGAACACCAGTCCTTATTAGTACTGTGCGAGCCCACAGTTCTCCAGCATGTTCTCATCTTAACTCAACGAATCACATCTGCGGTGAACCCATTCCCCAAATAAGGGCACATTCTGAAGCACTGGGGGTTAGGACTTTAACATGTCTTTTTTGAGGGGGACGCAATTCAACCCATTATACCCTCCAGCCATAAACAACTAGAAAACTGGATAATATACATGAAACAAGTGTCTTCTGACATTGGACAATCGACAGTTCAGGACTGTGATTCATAGGATGGGAAACAAATGATGTGAGTCCCACAATCGTCCCAGTTTCCTGCCTCGCATTTTCTGGGCTGCTTTTCAGGGAGAAGGAACCCCGGCAGAGCACTGCAGTATTACTCAGCTCAGAGAGAGCGGGGAAGAGCCACAGAAATCCACAGGGGGGTCTCCTTGAGTCTTTGGTCGCACACTAAGCTGTGTGCACAGGGTGAAACTCCACAAAGCCAAGCAAGGAAAAACTGCTGGGGAATTCACCACCACTGGTGAAATATAGGGTGAACAATTGGCAGCGATTGCACAAGGCTGAGAGATGTTTAAGCTCTGCCCAACCAGAATAGACACGTTATATAAGCTTGATCCCTTCTGATGTTATCCTCTCACCGAGCCCCCTCCACAGGAGGTGACTCATCAAAGTATTTGGTAGACAGAGTCTCTATCTAGGGAGAATT